CTAGAATCACAAAAAAACACATGTAATTTGGGGGAAGGGGAAGGGGGGAATGGGGGGAAAGGGGGGAAGGGGGATGGGGGGAGGAAAAATAGGTGTAATTGTTTGTGGTGGTGTAATGGTGTCAGAAAGATGCCAGCCAGGTATTAGGGACAGGTATGTGACAGGTGTGTTACAGATGTGTTTAACAGGTGTGTAACTAAAGCCTGGTGGTTGTTAAGGGGTGGGAAATAGGGGGTCACTATTAGATCAAGGAAGAATGGGCACTAAGAAATTTCTGCCCAACTATTTCTTTTACATGGAGGGCGGTGGGCTAGAGTTTATTTAGGTTGGGTTGGTTTTAGTGTGTGTATGTGTGAGTGTGTGTGTGTGTGTGTGTGTGTGTGTGTGTGGTGTGTGTGGTGTGTGTGTGTGTGTGTGTGGTGTGTGTGTGGTGTGTGTGTGTGTGTGTGTGTGTGTGTGTGTGTGTGTGTATATGTGTGTGTGTGTGTGTGTGTGTGTGTGTGTGTGTGTGTGTGTGTGTATATGTGTGTGTGTGTGTGTATGTGTGTGTGTGTGTGTGTGTGTGTGTGTGTGTGTGTGTGTGTGTGTGTGTGTGTGTGTGTGTGTGTGTGTGTGTGTGTGTGTGTGTGTGTGTGTGTGTCTGTGTGTGTGTGTGTATATGTGTGTGTGTGTGTGTGTGTGTGTGTGTGTGTGTGTGTGTGTGTGTGTGTGTGTGTGTGTGTGTGTGTGTGTGTGTGTGTGTGTGTGTGTGTGTGTGTATATGTGTGTGTGTGTGTGTGTGTGTGTGTGTGTGTGTATATGTGTGTGTGTGTGTGTGTGTGTGTGTGTGTGATAATAATAGCTAATTCTATTTATTGAAAGAGCTTGGCAGCCAGAAGGCTGAAAATATAGGTTATATTTGGGAATGGGTTACGAATTACAACAATATACAAGTGACATAAGTGACACAATAAGACATATAATAATTAGATGGGAAAAGCTCAGTCTACAGTTCATTTCAACATAGTGACAGTGAGGAGTAGTTTTATTGGGAGTGAATACATGGTTTATTACAAGTTATTGATAATTTTACAATGGTTGGGACTGGGCTGTTTTTGGATCAGTTCGTGCACGTTGGGCTGGATGGTTGTGGTGTCGAACAGCAATTTCGGACAAGGATCTCAGGTGGTAGTAGGAGCTGAAGCCGGGGATGGTGTAGAAGCTTTCTACCAATTTGCAGATGAGGTCGTGGTGATACTGGTGAGAGTCGAAAGGGTCAGTGTGTTGAGCGGGCTTGATATGTGAGTAGGAAGGGGAGAGAATAATCTGTATGCCCTCTTTTTGTACCCTTTTTTCAGGCGTTGCCAGTGGCATTTAGGAGTGAAGACCAGGTGGGGGAGGCATAGGTGAGCTTTGGGAAGTATGAATGTTGTGTAAACACTCGAGGAGCCAGTGTGAACCTGGAGGGAGAGTCGGCGGAGGAGGTGGAGACGGAAACTGGAGGACGGACAACTTCACTGACGTGTGGTTTCCAATTTAGTTTTGTTGTCTGGTGACGCCGAGGAGCTGTGGAAATCTACAACCTGGAGTGTTCGGACCTAGAGTAATGGAAGGAGGTGGGACAATGTCGGAGGAGAGGTTGGATGTGCATAACCATGGTCTTGGTATGGTTGATGGTGACATGGTTGTTGGTGGCCCAGTTTTGGGAGACTGTTCAACAAATCCTGAAGGGCGGCATAGTTGGGGAGCAGAATTGTGTGTGTGTATATATATGTGTGTGTGTGTGTGTGTGTGTGTGTGTGTGTGTGTGTGTGTGTGTGTGTGTGTGTTTGTGTATATGTGTGTGTATATGTGTGTGTGTGTGTGTGTGTGTGTGTGTGTGTGTCTGTGTGTGTGTGTGTGTGAATACACTATATATATATATATATATATATATATATATATATATATATATATATATATATATATATATATATATATATATATATATATATATATATATATATATATATATATATATATATATAGTGTATATACGTGTGTGTGGGGGTTATATATATGTGTGGGTTATGTATATGTGTGGGTTATGTGTGTGGGTATTATGTCGTGTGGGTTATATGCGTGTGGGTATATCGTGTGTGTGGGTTATATACGTAGTGTGGGGTTATATGTGTGTGTAATATATAGTGTGTGTGGGTTATATATGGTGTGTGGGTTATATGTGCGTGTGTGGGTTATATATGTGCGTGTTATATGTGCGTGTGGGTTATATACGTGCGTGTGGGTTATATACGTGCGTGTGGGTTATATACGTGCGTGTAGGTTATACGGTGCGTGTGGGTTATATACGTGCGGTGGGTTATATACGTGCGTGTGGGTTATATACGTGCGTGTGGGTTATTCTAGTGCGTGGGTTACATACGTGCGTGTGGGTTATATACGGCGTGTGGGTTATATACGCGTGTGTTATATACGCGTGTATTATATATGTGCGGGTTATATATATGTGCGTGTGGGTTATATATGTGTGTGTGGGTTATATATGTGCGTGTGGGTTATATATGTGCGTGTGTGGGTTATATATGTGCGTGTGTGGGTTATATATGTGCGTGTGTATATATATGTGCGTGTGTATATATATGTGCGTGTGGGTTATATATGCGTGTGGGTTATATATGTGCGTGGGTTATATATGTGCGTGTGTATATATGTGCGTGTGGGTTATATATGTGCGTGTGGGTTATATATGTGCGTGTGGGTTATATATGTGCGTGTGGGTTATATATGTGCGTGTGGGTTATATATGTGCGTGTGGGTTATATATGTGCGTGTGGGTTATATATGTGCATGTGTGGGTTATATATGTGCGTGTGGGTTATATATGTGCATGTGTGGGTTATATACTGTGTTGACTGTATGATGGTATCACCTCTTAGACCTTGATGTTTATTATATAGAGGTCTGATGGATTCCTATAGGTGTTTTCAACATACATTGCAAAGCTTGGACACTTGATCTTGATATTGTGCAGTTTGGACACTTGATCTTGATATCGTGCAGTTTGGACACTTGATCTTGATATTGTGCAGTGCGACCTTGCAGTTAAGTATGTTGAATGCGTTGGAAGTGTCAACCAGGAGAACTGCCTCACAATCACGCTGCTCAAATATCGTTCTCATGGCATGAATGGCAGTTTCCCCTCCAGCCTGGTGGCCAGCACAAACTTGCAGGTTCCCTGCTGCTGCCCTGACATCATCCTTTACCACCTCCATTATGCATTTTCCGATGATCCGCCTCAGCACTTCCCCTACTCCTATAGGCCTACATCCTGGATTCTTATCCGGGGGAATGAGGCGGCAGGCCGTCAGAGCATGGAGGTGGTGGCAACATGCAGTTGCTAGCTTTCTTGTAAGGGCAGCAATGGTAGTGCAGACATCACTTGCTACGGGGCCAAACTTGTAAGTGCTGAGGATGACTCTCCAACAGTTTGCATCCAGGCCTGAAGGGCCGGCCCCTCCCTGAGTTTTCAGTGCTTTTTCCACACCATTCCACCTGTTATTTTCTCAAACAGGACAGCATTTGGTAGGATATAGTCACCCTGAAACCTGATGCCTTCCTCTTCATTTGCAGGGGGATGTTTTTCCTGCAGTTGTTTTAATGTTTCTGTTTATTGGCAGAACACCACCGGAGAATTCCCCTGTAAAAGATATGACCGCCAAAGACACTTTTCCCACACGCAGTTTGTTTCCAAACTTTCTTGGAACGTCATCGGTGTTTTGCTTGTCATCTCCTATACATTTTAGTCTCTCCTGCAGTGCTCTTGTTTCACATAGGAGATCATCAAGGGCCCAATTCTGCCACATTGTCAATCTTCTCTTCATTGCTGCCACATTTTCTTTGTGCTTGGTCCTTGCGTGAGTCCTCTGACAGAATAGATGGGGTATTATTGCCAGTATTTGAAGAGCTAAAGAGGCAAGGAACCAGTCCTGAGTGTACTAATACTACTACTACTGTTGTCACTTGGAATCAAGTATGATGATCATCCAGCTATGAGTTATTAAGGATTTCACCTAGGTTGGTGAGTTCTAAGGTGATTAAAGAGGCCGATACGGGTCCGGCAGGGTCGATTACAGATGTTGCACATGTGGGGGGCTATATCTAGAGCGGGAGGGACGGCGGCAGTGTCTTTCCGGCATTGAAGCTTGTCTGTCTCGCTATGCAGTCAGGCTAAATCAAAAGAATTGACACCTTCTTGTGTGATGCTCCTCAAAGCGTTAAAGTGTGGCGTAATCGTCTTCCAAGTGAGGGGGTCTACTTGGCACTTTTTCAGGTTTTTCTTAAGACTATTGTCCTGATACAGTGATCCCTCGGTTAACGAACGCCTCAGTTAACGAAATTTCAGTAAACAAATTACCTTCCATAAGAATCTTCAATTCGGTTAACGAAATTTTTACGAAATCATGTCAACATGATTTTGCTTGCTCACCAACTGGAATATTAGTCCGCCAATACAGTAATCGGTTCTAGGACTAAATTCGTTCCCATTTGAGTAAATATCAAGAAGGTTGTACTATTCAATAATTTTCCAAGTTTTATATTAAATTTTTTAGTCATTTTAACACTTACTTAACATAATTGCAGTTCAGGAAACTAGTTTTAAGTGCGCCAAACAGCCACTTGATTCACCCAACAAGGCGTCAGTTTGTATCTCTGGTCAGTGGAGGTAACATCTTGCTTGTGGCTCTCTTGAACACGAGTATTTTTACGTTTTTACAGTACAATTATTGGTCATTCTGAAATTTATTTTACATATTGACAATATATAGTGCAGTGCAGTGTTGATTTAAAGAAAATAATCTTGAATTACACCAAGTGAACTTCAAATTTTATGGGTGAAATGACGGCATGAAGCATGGGGTGATTTCTCTTCCATCCCCACTTCCTTCTCTTCTCCCTTCTCCTCCACCCCCACTTCTAATTCCCATCATCATCATCATCAACCAGGAGCCTTCTACATACACACCTCAAAGTAAGTGTACTTTACTGTATTTATTTTTACTTTGTATGTAATTTTTGGTGAGTTGGAACCAATTACCCAAAATCCCATTGAAACAATGGTTTCGGTTAAAAAAATTTTTGGTTAACGAATGACCTTCTGGAACGAATTGTGTTCGTTAACCGAGGGACCACTGTACCTTTTCAGTTGGCCGCCAGCGTTACATTTACTAATCGTAAGGTGACTGTAAAGTAGCTGCTTTGGCAGTCTACTGGACTGAGGTAGTGTGATCACGCTGACCCAGCTGCCAGGGACAAGAGAGACACCTTGCGGGACACCATAAAACTCGCTGGCTTCCCCGCCCCAGCCGCGAAAATGCCACCAACTTTAAAACTACCCGCAGACATTCTTTGGTACATCCAGAGTGTCATCCTCAAATAATCGAAGGTTGGGAATTAAAAATTGGCAAATTATAAGGGCATGCTGTAGTCTGGCATTTCAAACACCCTCCCCCCCTTTAGTTTGAAATAACCATGAAATTAATTACCAGCTTCAGCGACCATGGTCTTCCCCAATTAGTCCTTTATCCCGAGGGTTTATATACTATAGTTGAACTGGGAGGATATTTCACCCTAAGATTTATTTAACAGCCTCACCTATTAAGTAAATACAGTACAGTAAGACACCCTTAAGTCAGACTTCCATTGTCGGAAACCTCCATTAGTCAGACTAGGGTGTACCATCACTCACCCTATACCTCAAGAGTCAGAATTGGTGGTAACCCCCACTCTGCCACCTTGCATCCTCAATTCAGACAATGATTAAACCAAGAAATAAATGCTAGTTTTAAGTGTTACTGTACAGATAAATGTAACAAACTATATACTGTAAATAGTATAAGTGATACTTAAGTAAGTTTAAGCAGCCCCCATTTGTCTTCCAATTCAAGATTCATCAAGATTCGTCTGCTTCAATAATCACAAAATTCATCTGCTACAATGTTAGTACATTGTAAATAAGTATTGTTAATTTTTAATTTTGTTTTTGGATGCAATTTTTCCGCAAAATGGGGATCGATATTACCCGGAGAAGGGGGGGGGGGGGTATCCACCTAAGTCGCACTTTCGGACCAGCTTGAGCCACACGTAGTCCGACTTAGGAGGTCTTACTGTACAGTACGTGGTAACAAGAGAAACAAAAAATCTTAAACACATACCTGAGCAACAAACATCATGTTTTGTTGTGGCTGAGACATCAACCCACCATTCTGTATTCCTGGAGGTGGTTGTCCCAAGGGCTGTCCAGGAGCTGGTCCACCCATATACACACTGTTTGGTACACCAAAAATGTTTGTTGGTTGGGGCTGTGCAGGTGTCTGGCCATAAAGGGCAAGGATAGAGTCTTTGGTCAACTTATCAGACCCTCCATCAGGTAGTTTTTGGTTGAAGAAATTCTCTTCTTCCATTTTTGTCGAGTCCGTTGCGGTGGTTGGAGTAGATGAGGTTATGCTGGCTGGTGCTCCTCTGGTTGCATTGGATTGACTGGCTGGAGCTGCCAGAAATTCTCCAAATGGGTCAGCATTGTCAATACTTGTGCCATTTGTTGATAAAGCATCTAAAATAAACAAATAAATAAGAAATTAAACTACACTTTTTTTTTTCCAAACATAAAAGCCTCAGAGAGAGAGGAGAGAGAGAGAGAGAGAGAGAGAGAGAGAGAGAGAGAGAGAGAGAGAGAGAGAGAGAGAGAGAGAGAGAGAGAGAGAGAGAGAGAGAGAGAGAGAGAGAGAGAGAGAGAGAGAGAGAGAGAGAGAGAGAGAGAGAGAGAGAGAGAGAGAGAGAGAGAGAGAGAGAGAGAGAGAGAGAGAGAGAGAGAGAGAGAGAGAGAGAGAGAGAGAGAGAGAGAGAGAGAGAGAGAGAGAGAGAGAGAGAGAGAGAGAGAGAGAGAGAGAGAGAGAGAGAGAGAGAGAGAGAGAGAGAGAGAGAGAGAGAGAGAGAGAGAGAGAGAGAGAGAGAGAGAGAGAGAGAGAGAGAGAGAGAGAGAGAGAGAGAGAGAGAGAGAGAGAGAGAGAGAGAGAGAGAGAGAGAGAGAGAGAGAGAGAGAGAGAGAGAGAGAGAGAGAGAGAGAGAGAGAGAGAGAGAGAGAGAGAGAGAGAGAGAGAGAGAGAGAGAGAGAGAGAGAGAGAGAGAGAGAGAGAGAGAGAGAGAGAGAGAGAGAGAGAGAGAGAGAGAGAGAGAGAGAGAGAGAGAGAGAGAGAGAGAGAGAGAGAGAGAGAGAGAGAGAGAGAGAGAGAGAGAGAGAGAGAGAGAGAGAGAGAGAGAGAGAGAGAGAGAGAGAGAGAGAGAGAGAGAGAGAGAGAGAGAGAGAGAGAGAGAGAGAGAGAGAGAGAGAGAGAGAGAGAGAGAGAGAGAGAGAGAGAGAGAGAGAGAGAGAGAGAGAGAGAGAGAGAGAGAGAGAGAGAGAGAGAGAGAGAGAGAGAGAGAGAGAGAGAGAGAGAGAGAGAGAGAGAGAGAGAGAGAGAGAGAGAGAGAGAGAGAGAGAGAGAGAGAGAGAGAGAGAGAGAGAGAGAGAGAGAGAGAGAGAGAGAGAGAGAGAGAGAGAGAGAGAGAGAGAGAGAGAGAGAGAGAGAGAGAGAGAGAGAGAGAGAGAGAGAGAGAGAGAGAGAGAGAGAGAGAGAGAGAGAGAGAGAGAGAGAGAGAGAGAGAGAGAGAGAGAGAGAGAGAGAGAGAGAGAGAGAGAGAGAGAGAGAGAGAGAGAGAGAGAGAGAGAGAGAGAGAGAGAGAGAGAGAGAGAGAGAGAGAGAGAGAGAGAGAGAGAGAGAGAGAGAGAGAGAGAGAGAGAGAGAGAGAGAGAGAGAGAGAGAGAGAGAGAGAGAGAGAGAGAGAGAGAGAGAGAGAGAGAGAGAGAGAGAGAGAGAGAGAGAGAGAGAGAGAGAGAGAGAGAGAGAGAGAGAGAGAGAGAGAGAGAGAGAGAGAGAGAGAGAGAGAGAGAGAGAGAGACTTCTTGTGGGAAGGGGAACATGGTGATACAAACATCATCACTGAGGGGGGTTTACCTGCCAGAACAGGTGTTTAATGTGGATGAGACTGGATTATTTTGAAGAAAATTCCAGAAAGAACAAACATTACCTAAGAGGAGAAGAGTTAGCCAGGTTTTAAGGCTGTATTAAAGGGTATAGCTGTAATAAATATCCATAATCTTTTCATTTTTTACAATATGTCTGGTATCTACAAGAGTAAAGTTGGACTTACAAACAAGCCTCAGGAACGTAACTCGTTCGTAGGTAGAGGATCACCTGGACAAAGATGCCTGAGTACAAGACAGTGGTCCCTCATTTAACGAATGGCCCAATTAACGAAATTTCGGTTTACGAATTTACTCCCATAAGGATTTTCAATTCCATTAAAGAACAGAACTTCGATTAACGACAGCTAGAAAAAGTGCCCTAAACATGGCCTGCCTAAAAAACAACCTGACTGAGCCACAGCACCCAGTAAGGTTATCCTAAAGAAGCCAAAAACATTATCACAGATCAAAGTAAAAACAAACTGTACAACCTTTTATGGTTGCTGCATGGAACGTCAGTACCCTTCTGAATACAGGGCTGCCTCACTTATCGCAAAGGTTACGGGCATGAAACTCGTTGCGAATATCGAAATTGCGAATAGCGGAGCAATTTCTCCCATAAAAAACAAAGTAAATAGGAGGGATAAGAGCATCGCGGTGGTCACAGCCGTCAGATTTTAACACTTGGTTTACTCAATACTGTACTTACAGAACATAAAATAGATAAAGAAACAAGGGCATAATATCAAATAAACATCAATAAAAAACACTGAGTTTATTAGGCATACAGTCTCTCCTCGACTTACGACGGGGTTCCGTCCCGACGACCAGGTCATAAGTCGAATTGGTCGTAAGTTGAAAATAATACATAGAAATTCTAAAATGGGTGTCTCTTTTTCTTCTAAGCACCACGAGAACTCTCACTTTTACCTTTGCCAGTCATTTTAAAGGGAATTATAAACAAAATTTTTTTGTCAGTACACAGCCCGATCACTAACGTCGGGACTCGAAAATACGTAATGTGAAAAATATTTTATACAGCCATGGCTGTCTTATGTCCAGGTTGTCGTAAGTCGAGGAGAGACTGTATATGTTTACACGTACAGTATACTTTACATGTTTGAGTGTGTGAGTGTTTGAATGTTTATGTGTGTAGGTGTGTGAGATAAGTTTTAAACGTAGACTGTGAATTTACCTCTGATGTGCTGTGTTGCTTGCTTGCTGAAGTTGGCATTAGGGCAGAGGGTGAAGGTTTACTGGAGTGAGAGGAGGCTGGGGTCGTCAGCCACCTCGCTCTCCTCACTGCCAGGGTCGTCAGCCACCTCACTCTTATCATCACTGCCAGGGTCGTCAGCCACCTCACTCTCATTATCGCTGTCAATTTGCACTGAAAGCTGTTGTTCTCCACTGGTTGAAGGCTGTGGTTTTACACTGGTCTTGAACAGCTGCTTAAAAGCCGTGTTCTGTTTGGATGTACGTGGGGTGGTTGGTGCACTGGGGGTTGAAGGTTTGGCCGTGATAAATGCATCAAGAGTCACTTGTGCATTCTTCCTCTTCTCCTCAAGCACCTCGTAGTATGCTCGTATGTCTTTCTTGACATTGCGGATGATAGTGCAACTTCGGTCAACATTAGGGTCCATTTCTAATGCCAAATCCCTCGTCATTTCAAATGAAGAAATCAGCTTCCTTAGGTACTGTACAGTGAGGAGTTGTTTTGGAGTTTCATTTACATCTTCTCCCGTTGCAAATGGCATTTCTTCCTGCTGAAGCCTCTCCAGGTCTTCATTGTGAGAGTCGAGGAGGTCTTCTACGTCAGCGTCATCCACTTCATCGAATCCAGCCTTCTTTGCAAGTCACAATAGTCTTCCTTATTGCAGGCACTGAAGGGAACCAACGGAGTTGTGCACACACTCGGGCCACAGCTTACGCCACACACCGTTCATGTTCTGTTGTGTTGTGTTATTGCCTCCCATGAATCAGTGATGTTTTTTTATGGCTTTCCTGATGTTGTAGTGTTTGTTCCAAAACTCCCGGATTGTAGGTCCATGGGTTAAAAATTTTGGCTCGTAAGAATTTGCGAATAAACAGGGCAACCACTGCGAATAGTGGAAATGGGTAACAATAAATTGATTGCAGATAAACGGGGTTACGAATACCGAGGCTATGAATAACAGGGTTTGCCTGAACTAGCACAAATGAGCGTCCTGAAAGAAGAACTGAGCCTCGTGACAAAAGAGCTGTCTAGGTATAACATTGACATAGCAGCCATTAGTGACTGATTTATTGATTGTGGTACTGTACTTACATCCGACTCAACAGCTTAGATCATATGGCGCCGAATTAAAAGAAAGGCTAAATTCAAATAATACAAGATAAAGCATGTAACTAACAAATAACAAAACTTTTGTATACTGTATACATAAAAAATAAATAAAAAAAATAAAAAAATAAACGTTAGATAAAACTCAAAGCTTGCGTAAAAGGCCCGCTTCCTCCACGAAGGAGAGGACGTCCCCTCCCAAGCTACTCACCCCCCCAGCACCAGAGAAATGATAAGACCCATCTCCCCCCCAGGCACTGGAAGAAGTGCTTACGACGAAAATCTCTGGGACTGGGGCACTCCATCTGGAGGTGTAGAACAGTCAATGGGACGAATCAGACATCACAATGGGGCGGGGGCGCCTTCTCCATTAAAAAACCACGAGTCAGCCGTGTGTGACCAATACAGAGGCGGGCCAAAGCAGTCTCCAGGTGGCGTGACAATCTCTGATATTCCCAGAACCAGATGCAGGGTGGATGTCACGAAGCTTGTTTGCTCCGACAATATCCCACCTGCACTGCCAACACGAATGGATGACAGCTCTTATTACCGGCTTCATATCAGAGGCAGGTAAAGGAGAATGATGTGCTACAGGGCAAAAAGCAGCTGCTTTCACCACAGCATCAACACATTCATTCCCCTTCTCCCCCACATGGGCCAGAACACAGCAAAAAGTGACTTTCCAGCCACAACGTTGGATGAGAAACAGCCATTGTAAAATATCTATAACTAAGGGATGGGTCAATGAGACACTGGCCAAGGCCTGGAGAGCACTAAGAGAATTGCTAAAAATTTTAAAATCACAATGAGGTTGGGTAAAAATAATCTTGAGAACAGGTAAAATGCCTGACAGCTCTACCGTAAAAATATATGCCATAGTGGAGAGACTATCATGCTGACAGAATTCTGGAAAGATCACCCCAAAACCCACCCCTGCATCCTGCAACTGACTTAAGAGCCGTCAGTGTAAACAGGGATAGTCCGTCTGAGAGAGGAGGCATGTTTAAAGAGAATGAACCACACAGGGAGGGAATAAGTCCTTCCTTTCGTTAAAATACTGACAAATTTGAACTTCAGGGAGAATCCACATAGTGGCACTAGGGAACTGCATGGGACATATCTGAACAGGAGAGACAAAGAATACTCACAACCTCCCTTACCCTGAAGCTGAAAGGTCGTGGGAGGCCTGGATGCTGAGTGTAGTGTGGGGATAATAGTCTCGTGACCTACATAAGTGTTGGTTACAGACTGTGGAAGGCAGTGGAGGTGAAATCAACACTGGACCTGAAGATACTGACATCAAAGATCAAGGGGTGGCTCATCAGCATCAACTAGTAGAGTCAGGATTGGTGAAGACCTGAAGGCATTGGTCACCAGGCACACCCCAGCAATCCCAGCATGATGAATAGAGTTCAGTGCATTGAGTCTAGCTTCAGTGGCTGAGGAGCACACCTCACACCCATAATCCAGTTTAGGTCTAACTAGCATGTGGTAAAGGTGTAGTAGAGTTCCTCGGTCAGCACCCCACGACATGTGCCCCAAGACTCTCAATAACTTGAGAGCACGCTGACAAGACTCTTTGAGGTAATGAATAAGTGGCTGCCACATCAGCTGGTTGTCAAAGATAATGCCCAGGAAATGGGTCTGTGACACATCACACAAAACGAACATAGTGCTGTAGATCAGGATCTGGATGAACACCCGAAAATGTGGCAGAAATGCATGAAAACGGTCTTCAAGGGAGAAAATCTAAACCTAAGCTCTGTGGTCCAATGTAAAACCTTGTCTCGTGCAAGTTGCATAGTATGATGATTTATGACAATGAAACATGAGCAGTTAAAGAGGATGACATACTGTAAATAGGCTTGAATGAGTTGAAATCAGAATGGTGACGTGGATGTGCAATGCAACACTGAAAGACAGGGACCCTGTTCAGAGCTAAGAGAGCAGCTGGGTATTGAGAGTATTGGTGAAGTTTTACTTTGAGGTAGGCTGAGATGGTTTGGGCACATGGAGAGAATGGAAGAGACCAACTTGATCAAGAGAAGTGAGAGAGGTTGTAAAAAATAACATGAGTTAAGAAACTGAAAAGATAGGCTGCAAGAGACCCTGCAGCACAGACAGCTGTGTCATATGGTAATCACTGTCAACCCATGTAAGAAAGGAAAATGGAAAAAAACAAAAAACATTAATGATTATGTATTCCACAAGTCATTGTATGGCTTAGTAAAGCAAAAATTTGACATCAACACTAACCAAGTCCCAAAAGGTCTTGTGTAGCACTAGAAGTTGTAGTGGTTGTTGTGGTCTTTCCTGACAATGCAGCATTCTTAGCTGCGGTGCCAGGGGAGGGAGATGAACTTTTGCTCCCAGGAGCTTTTGGTAAGGGCTTGGGAGAAGCACTGGTGCCTCTAGTGTTACCACGACCACTTATGGGGGCAGGCAGTTCCACTGTCCCACTGGCCTGTGGAAGAAGACATGCACTAATCATACTCTCATCCTCAAGTAGGAATACCCCCAATTAATGAAATTATCCTTTGTATAGACAGATTCAGGTTTCAGCAATTTTTTACCTTAACCACTTTCCTACTATACAAAGTTTGGAGGTGTGGTAGTGTCTTTCAGACCCACTTATTGAAAATATGGAAAATCACTAGCCTTCTCAACTGATCATTTATCAAACATTAATAACATCCATACAACCTTAATACACAACACACTTTCATCCCATGGTATTTCCAGGAAATGCTTCATCCCACAATTCTTACACCTTCACCTTTGGCTTACAGTATATGACATCAGTTATATAAAGTGGAGCCTTGCTAAGACAGTCATCTATTTATGAAGGAGTTACATTCCTGGTCCTCAATCTTAAGTCCATTTGTTTCCAAGTCCAATTTCACTTATGTAAACCCGACATAATTTCATATTGTAAAATATGAACTATTAAAGACTATACATGTATTGTAGTAATAAATAAAGACTTCTCTTACTAATAATGGTTGACTGTACTGGTACAGAACCCTTCACATGTTCCAGAATTCGCTTCCAACCTAAGGAAGATGAAACAAAAAGTATGCACTGTAAACCATTCATGAAAACTAAATGGATTTCCCTTGTAACCTTGTACAAAACCATAATATAATGACAATGTTTATATTATAATTAAAAAAAATATAAATAAAATATTGATGACTAGAATGACACATAAGAAAAATACTTGTTTATAACATAGTCCAAGGACAACCTTCGGCCACGGTATGGCAGAGAAGCATGGAGCCGGGGGGCCATCCCCAACAATCATCTGCCACACATCTCCCAAAACCCTCCCATCATTAGCAGTACCATACTCTCATTGCCTACAGCTGTATCACTACAGTGATATCCCTTTTAGCTGGAATAATTGGTGCAGATCTTTTCCAGAAATGAGATATCCAGGTAATGAGACGACTTCCTCATCCCTGGAAAAAATTACACACCCCCCAGAATTTGTCCGGGTAATGGAGAAAGTTTTCTAGGAGTCAAAACTAAACATCTCATCTCACACGGACAAACGCGAGCAAAAAAGTTTATACACTTTTTTTTTATTCACAGCTTCTGTCCTAATTGCGTTAAAGAGATGAATTCTGTACCATATTTATCCTGAATAACAAAATTTAATGATGGGTACTGTTAAGGTCATTTCCCCTTTCCCTCAATATTTGTTTCAATTACCCATTGTATATAGTTTCTATTGTGTCCCGTTTTTCCAAGCTTATGGTAAAAACTTTTAAAAATGTCTTGATTATTTTTATATTAGTATATATAATAGTATTTGTTTCATTGTGTAAACTTTGTAGAATGTATTTTTATTTTTTGTAAAGTTATGAAAGACTGTAAGAAGCAGGTGTGAAGTATAAAAAGAATTAGAAATTATATGTTGATGAAACAAGAAAGTATTGGAACATTTTTGTTTTGGTGACGCTCTCTCTGTAGCTAGGTTGAAGAGGATAGGAGTCAAGCTTGTATGGAGCTTGTCTGGGCAATCATGAATAATTATGGTGTTAATTAAAGTGTAATATGTTCATTATAGTCTAAAGATTATTGTAGTACTGAGAGAGCATTGTATTTGGTGGAGATAACATTATTTTGAGTAAATTGATATGTGGCCTTTTTGTATGTGCATGTATGGAGAGCACATATTCATTATATTTTGTTGTATTGTTTAAAGCTGTGTTTTGATTAAACCAGTTTTAATGGGAGCAGTGGTATTAAAATAAACACCTGTCAGCTGTCAGGAGATTGTTAGCCAGAAATAAGGATAGGGTCTGTGTTTAACATTTAATCTCTTTGTTAACAGAAGCTGTTATTTCAGAGTCTCTACTGATATAATGTGCCTATGGACTGACTATACATCATCTCGTGAATCCTAGAAGAGGGTGTGAAGGTTGTAACAGTACTCAATTCCTTTACGAAAAAAAATAAAAAAAGAAATGCTGATACCAGACTATAAATTCAGAAGAAAAATTACACATACCTTTTCTCTCTTCTTCTTCCTTAACTGTTTTTCCAACTCCAGATCCCAGGTGGGGTTGGGCATGGCTGGAGGTACCCATTCACGTGCAATGTACTTTTTGGCTTCATATTTGGCCCTCACAAACTGCTCTAAGGCAGAGTCCATCTGTGGTCTTCGAAAACTGTCAGGAATATTGGCTTCATACACTGCCCGGGCTCGGCTGTTTCCCATTTGCTGGATACACTGTGCATGAAAAGCAATATTAACATCCCGAACATTATATCACAAAATAAAATCCATACCTCTATGAATCAACACTTTCAAGACTATCAAATATTATTTCTTACAAACTTTTCCCCAATATTTTGAAGGAAGAATAGAATCACTAACAACCACCAACCATTCTTTTGCTCAAATTTTTGTGACAGTCCCATATACTACATAGTACTGTACAGCTAAGTCCTGAGATTTGACTGTTTGAGGTTCATCCAACTCACCTAATAGCTAATGCCCTAGTTTCAACTGGGTGAGCTTACTAATTCAACAGTGTGTTAAACAGAATGACCAATAATTTTAATGTAAAAATGCTAAAATATTAAAGAGCAAAACTTTCTCAATGTTTACTCCTCTGATAACAACGTTAAACAGAGAACCAATTATTGACGGACGAGTCGATCAGCTGATGCGTGCACCAAAACGTGTTTTTCATAAGGCTGCTGTTAATAGAATTAGAATTTGTACTCATTAACAGAACTGAAAGTCCTTACGGGAGGTAACTTGTAGATTGAATTGCTCGTTAATGGAGGGTCCACTGTACTATTATCATTATCACTGTTATTACAGGGTATTATTATTACTATATATATTTTTATTTAACATTTTTTTTTTAATAATAATTATTATTACCTGTATCATCATTATTATATTTTTGCCCCCAGGCCCTGATATGGGTCACTGACCTGTGCCCTGGTGGGCTAATCCTATGAAAAAAAAAAACATGTCTACCCCCACAAGGAATACTTATTTCATGTGTGAAGTGGCACACCACAGTCTTATTATCAGACAAAACTTAATAATCTAAAGTCATTTACCTCATCATCAATGGCTTCCTCATTTCCTACTTACTCTCCCTTCAAGTCAAATGATGTCCCTTCACCTTCCCTTTTTCTAATATTCTTTCCATAAGTGCACCAATGAAATTTACCCTCTTTTCAATCCCATTCAAAACACATTTCTTCTTTATCATACCATCCCTCCTCTGTAGAAGTTCCAATCACCTCTTCCTTCTCTGCACTTCTTTGTCTATGTACAGTATCTTTCTTTTCTCTCCAATATACAACTTGCAACTCTTTGTAATTTAAGGCAAACAGTACATTCACCTCATATTCATCATCAATGTTTTACTGCCATTTTCCTTGCTTACGTGGGTTATTGCAATTAAATAATATCTTTTCATACTTCTCACATATCGTGTACTAGGCAAGATTAGCTTGAACACCTTTTTTTTTGTTTGCCTTGTAATCATACCTACTGAGCTTATGAATTCATTTACTAGAAAACTGCTGTTTATAACATTCCCAATGTGTCAAACAAAACCACAGATACCAAAATATTTTTAAAATATGATGTTAATCCACTTACTGCAACTTGTTGTGGCGTCCATGTGTCGAGATTGACACTCTTTACCCGAGATATGTGCACACCCAGGTTGCGGTGGATTCCCGCACACCGTATGCACAAGAAAATGCCAAGATTCCATGATGCCCATCTTGGACCTAAAGGGAAGACATATATGTCATGACAATTGATAACCAATGTCAATTCATCTGCATTTTAATAAAATGTTCACACTTGATATCCAGAAAGATAGGTTGTGAGTGTTGTTGAAAAGGGAGGATTATGTTAACCCCATCATTAGTAAACTGTCTATCAGAGCTGACTCCTCTTGAGTAATCATTAATTCATGTATTCAGGGGATTCTTTTAACACTCTCAAGTTCATTCACTCATATGTGGCATTTTGCTTTAATGTAAATGAAATTTTTTCCTCACGATCAGACACGCCACAATGGTGTAGTGTTCATTTTCTTTCAAAGTTCCTGATTGAATTATGGTACTTCAAATATTTACTACTTGCGGTACCTCGATATTTATTCTTATGAAGTGATAAAGTAATGTGTCTTGAAATATTTCTTTATGAAATAGTGAACTATTTTTTTATTTATGATACATTGGTGAAAAGGCTACCCCGGTACTCACAATACAGTCGCATATACAGTACCACACAAAAGCATGTCGTAATACTGTATATAGCCCTTGCTTGGAAAAGTAGCAAGTGAGAGTAAAATACAGTATAGTCAGTAGAGGCATGGGTATGGTGAATTATAATAAACAGATTGTGCTTATTTGATACGTATTCCTAATGGCATCGTCATTGTTGTGCATAAACCGAGGCCTACTTTGAGTGGTAGAAATATTATTGCCAAAATTTAAATTTTTGTCACATAAACTTCTAACTGGTCTATTTCTCTTCCTTAGTACAGTAGAAGTCCAAAAATCCGGACTGCTTGGGGATTGGGTTGGTCCGTATTTTTGGATTTTCCGGATTCTCATGCAGTACTTTTAAAATTCAAATTTAAGGAGGAATAAAGAAGAGATGAACAGGTACATTTTGATAGTTCATTCATTAGCAAATATAACATGCGTCATATATCAAAACGAGCAGTTTTAAGGAAAAAGCTGTGAATTCTAGAATTTTATTCTTTGCCTCTTTTATATCATAAATTGTACTTTCCAATGTCGTATGTTTCCATTAGAACAGTATTGCTCACACCATGTTCTAGTTTCTTAATTATTTCAAGTTTGTCACTCAATTTCAACGTGTTCTTCTTTCTCTTCACACAACGAAGTTTATCTACTTTAGGAGCCATTATTATGGGCTTGTACAGTACAGTACTCTGTAAATGAAAAGAGTAGGACTCAAAATTACATACATTGTCACAGTTTGATTGATCTTTTTAAAGTGGCGACCGCGTGGTCGCTTGTTGTCGCTGTGCAGCTGTGGCACTCACGCATGCGCACATACACACAAAAGCCCGCTAAAAAAAAAAAAAAAAAAAATTTAATTTCCTATAAGTCCGGATTCTCGGGTGGTTCGGATTTCTGGCATCCGGATTTTTGGACTTTTACTGTACAGTGAGTTCTGCTATAACGCGTGTTTTGACAACGCGAATTTGCTCGAACGCGATTTATGAATTGAGGAACGATATTTGTAAAACGCGAACTCGTTTGCTCTAACGCGATTCCACTCGAACGGTTGTTGTGGCTTCAGTTCACGTTCGACATCACATGTTCAATTGAGTTATGTGTTTTGTTTGTGAACAATTGCAGAAATAATGTATGTAATATTTATGTATACAGTATACCTATATATTATAAGTAAATTGTAAAATTTTACATAAAAGAGAAAATCAAATTACATAGCGTTTTACACCCGCGCTCTCTCTACATCACACACAGTGTTTACAGTTCACGTTCGACATCACATATTCAATTGATTTATGTGTTTTGTTTGTGAAGAATTGCAGAAATAATTTATGTAATATTTATGTATACAGTAAACCACTCACAAGGTCCTACAGTACCACTAATTATTTTATACTGAAACTTACGTTTGGTAAGCTGGATTAAAATGAAGATTACCGGTATATTAAAATAATAAAAATGTATTATAAACCAGTCTAACATACCGTAATAAACACAGCTGCTATTATCATCCCCCCCTCCCCCATTTGCCAGTGACAAGAAAGGGAAAGTGACCTTGACTGTGACCGCCTGTGGCTATTTTTAGCCATCCTTGTGTTCGGAGGTGGTCAGTAATGCATCTCTGTATATTTACTGATCATAATACTTATCTCTTATAAATAATTCATTTAAAATTTATTTTTTTGCAAAGAATATTCAGTAAATGACTGCATTAATTCTTGAAACTGCCGACAGTGGTAAATTTAGGATATAAATAATGAACAGAAGTCACGTCATGGATTCGGAGTTTGGTCCTTAACGATCACCATAAATGTAGCCTCCCTTTTTCGCGAAACACGTATATAAATTAAAGAAAATACTTGCAGTATATTTAATATATTACAGTATATTATATATAAATAAATAAACAAATAAATTCAAATTCCCTTATCATCCTGTGTCATATACAGAAATACTTGAGTCCCTGAGCGAGTACACAAAAAGAAAACGGACATCCTGGAGTGGATAGAGAACGGACATCTCTACTGGGGGACTCAAACGTTTCTCATGTTTTGTGGGCGCTCTAGCATAATATGAATAATATGTAAATTACAATATATATATATATATATATATATATATATATATATATATATATATATATATATATATATATATATATATATATATATATGTATATATATATATATATATATATAAAATCTGCAGGAAAATGGGAAACAGCGAATTACCTTAACTGCGTCTTTATTCAGGAACATCTTCAGAACCAACTGGGTTACATGGACAGAGAAGCAATATACGGTGACCTAAAAATATAAGGTCAGGTCATAATGATGACATCACTAATCCATACACCAACACACACGTAGGAGCTTAAGAAGAATTGGTGGCGTGACTGAACCAGGTCAGGTCAGAAAAAGGACCCTGAAAATAACTATCATACATCAAGATCAAGGTTTTCAAAGCATTTTTTAAGCAGCAGGCCACTGACAAATAAATTTATGTAACATATTATCAGTTTTGAACTGACCATCATAAATTTGTTGTCCAGTGCTGTCTTAAAAACCTTGTTTTCATTGTGGATTTACATAGAAATATATATATATATATATATATATATATATATATATATATATATATATATATATATATATATATATATATATATATATATATATATATATATATATATATATTTAAAAAATTTAAAGAAAAGAGAAAAACTAAATACGTAGCATTTAAAGTGTACTGTACAGTGTTGTGGCTTGGCTCAATGTTTACAGTTCACGTTCGACATCACTTGTTCAATTGATTTATGTGTTTTGTTTGTGAAGAAATACCTGTACAGTATATGTAAATTGTAAAATTTTAAATAAGAGAGAAAAACAAAATAAGTAGCGTTTAAAGTGTACTGTACATTGTGGCTTGGTGCGGGGTTATGCAGTGTTTACAGTTCACGTTCGACATCACATGTTCAATTGATTTATGTGTTTTGTTTGTGAAGAATTGCAGAAATAATTTATGTAATATTTATGTATACAGTATACCTGTACAGTATATGTAAAATGTAAAATTTTAAATAAGAGAAAAACAAAATACATAGCGTTTTAGACCCGCGCGCTCTGTTTACTCCACACTTTGTTTGAAACACGTGTGAAGTTTTTAAGTGTCCTCAGTGAATTCTGATTACTGTTTCTCCAATTTTGTGACTATGGAAAAGAAGAATATCTCTGGGAAGCACTCTGGTGATCGCATTTCCGGTGGTGATCGTAAAAGAAAGGCTATAACACTTGAAGAAAAGCTTGATGTTTCATGACTCCTCAGCCTCAACATCACCCTTATCCCCCATCAAGTTATATTCATATTTTTTCAAGGAAAAGTGTAACATTTACTGTATGATTTCATTATTAGATATGAATGTAACATTTATTTAGACTGTGCTATCCTTTGTGTTAGGCTAACTACGAAATTTTTTTTCGATTTGGAGTAATCTGCACCTAACCCTATTTTCTCCATAAGCCCTGTTATTTCTATTACACGAATTTCTATAACACGATGTTTTACAAGAACACTACTATCGCGTTATAGCAGAACTACCTGTATGTGTACAGTAATAATCTATTAAAAAAAAAAAAATTTTTTTTTTGAAAGACTTCAACAAAAAACTAACAAGGAAAAAATGTGTACAGGTATAAACATTTCTGCGACTGCGTGCCTAACCATCACTGAGTTTTATCTTTTATTCTGTAACTCCATTACTTTTTACATTATCTTTTTTTCTGATTACACCATTGTCTTCCTCATGATTTACTCTTTCTCGCCATGTGAATTTTATACTGACTGATGCAATGATGTGGATACAGCATGAAGAGGAATCAACAGTAAACTTTCACTTTTCATTATACTGTACCTGTACTCGCCAAAATGGCTTTTCTTTATTATTTTATTTTTGAGCTTTTCACATGATTTCCCAGCTTTTTATTTACATAGGAAGGCACCATGTGAATAAATATTTTACAATACAGCTGCTCCCCGACTTACGACGGGGTTAGGGGCCGACATCCAGGTCGTAAGTCGAAATGGTCGTAAATCGGAAATGCTTAAATAATACATAGAAAATCTAAAATGGGGGGTCTCTTTTTCTTCTCAGCACCACAAAACACTCACTTTTAAGCTTGCCAGCCATTTTAAAGTGAATTACAGATGAAAATTTAGTCTGTGTACTGACTTTGGGACTCGAAAATACGTAATTTGACCAAAATTTGGTACAACCGAGGCAGGTCGTAAGTGCGGGTGGACGTAAGTCGAGTAGGTCGTAAGTCGGGGAGGAGCTGTATCTTAAATGCGAAAAGTGCTTGGGAAAAAATTTCTTCTCCACGATTTCTGGACATTTTGCGAGTTCCAAACAGAGCGAGTCACAGTATTTAAAAAAATCTGTTAGTTGGTCATAAAAGTGGTTCACCTGCAGTGAGAAAATTAAATGAAATCCACTTCATATTTCATAAATACAG